CTACACATTTTAAGAACACATCTGCTTGTGGAAAAACATTAAGAAATACCTTCCTTAGCTATGTTTTTAATAAAATCCACAAGTGAATTGCTGCTGCATTAAGCTATAATATATTCAGTATTCTTGACTTCGTTGTCTAATTCAGTTGCAAAAGATGTTTTTAAAATAGAAACACTTAAAACTCAGGTATTTAAAGCAGTTAAGCAATCTGACTGGCTTATCTAGATAGCACATTTGTAGGTACATCTTTCTTTCCTTGCAAGTCTACCAGTGATTGAGAATGAATGAAAACTAAATTTGATTTTACATTGCAGGTATCACTTATCCCTATAAATAAGCTACAGCGTGTGCTGAGACACCTAAAGCTGCTTGTAGTTTACACAGAACCATTGAATGGTTTGGGTTGGAAAGGACCCTAAGGGTCCTTGCCATGGGCAGGGACACCTCACACTAGACCATGTCACCCAAGGCCTTGAACACTGCCAGGGATGGGGCATTCACCACTTCTTTGGGCACCCTGTGCCAGCATCTCAGCACCCTCACAGTAACGAACTTCTTCCTTAGATCTAATCTAAACTTCCCCTGTTTGAGTTTAAACCCATCACCCCTTGTCCTGCCACTACAGTCCCTGATGAAGAGTCCCTCTCCTGCATCCGGGTAGGCCCCATCACGATAATGACATCAAATCAGGTATTACAATGGATCATTTCAATATGATGCATTCTCTGTGAAGAAACTTACCTTTTGCTCTCAGCAGAGCTGCATCTGAACTAGAATGACAGTCCCCAGTGATATCAGAAGTGGAAAAATATTAAATAAACTGTTTTATTAATGAAAACTGAAGATGAGGTCAGTGGCACTTAGAGCAGGCACAGTTTTGAGGTGCAGAGTTACTGCATCTACATGCAAAAGTGAGTGTGATGCCATATACCCACGCGCAACCTTTTCTGACTCGGGTACAGAAAAGGAGCCCACCTTTTAAACCCTCAAACATCCTACTTCAGTTTCCCTGACAAAACCTGTTTTTTCTGCATACTTTAAGCACTGTGTTTTGTTGCTATGAACGTACAACTAAAATGGCCAGACTAAATATTGTGAGCTCAAAAGGGGTTTTTGTCTTACCAACAGTATCAGGCACTGTAGCCTGTATGTGAGCATAGCCAGTCTCCACCAACATCCTGTAGATGTATTTCTTCAAGAAGGGAAACATCCGCCTGACATCTTCATCCTGGAAACCAAAGAGTCCTGGAACATAGCGGCCCAGCAGGATAGAGAGCAGATGAATGAACCCCATATTGGTAGCTAGGGCGAAATTTAGGTGGAGACCTCTCACATGGCTGAAAACAGAAGCAGAAAAAGCCCTGACAAATGAACAGAAGTAAAACGCGCTTCAAAGTTGTTACATTTGAAATGGTATTGCCAAAAATAGACACTTGATAGGTGCTTAAATTCCAACCTGCTAATGACAGCATGACCTTGTCTGTGCTTTGTAGTGTGGCTTTTCACCCAAATATGACAAGTCAAAGGGGCAAGTGTCAGTAATCAGCACGCTCCTGGGCACTAAGCCACAAATCCTCCTTCTGTTACAAGGACTTACCCCAGTCCAGACCCCAGTGGGGCCATCACAAAACTACTGCACTACTGGTTGAAAGAACAGGTATACAGTGTAAACTAAGGTATGTAACTCTGGATCACTGCTTAACTCTGAGCACTGAAGATGGAAACTACAGATGAGGACTTCGACAGGAGCTCATAAGTGCATGAGAAATAACTATTCAAAGAATAAAACAGCTCTGCATGCAAATCATGCAGCACTGTACCAGGGGGGTACTCACTTGGGAGCTATCTGAGCCAGATTGGTGCAGATGAGCCAGCCACAGTCACCACCTTGCATGTAGAACTCATTGAATCCCAGTCTGAGCATCAGTTCATAGAAAACAGAAGCAGCACTTACAGAATTAAAGCCTGTGTTAAAAACAAACAGACAAACAACACTGTTGCAGTAATTCCAGCTATGCCTCTTGACTGTGCAGCATTTATTCTCCCCATAAAGGCAACACTGAAGTTCCCAGTTCCAAGGCAAGGTTTTCCTTGCCTGTCTGACAGCAAGGTCTAGGGACAAGCAGAAACCACAAAGAGAGAGTCCAGCCTTTGTTGCAGACCTGTGTTCTCCTAACCCCACCAGCTGCCCATGCTCTTGCCACATCAAGGGGTTCCTGGTCTTCCTTTAAGCTGTAATCATGCTCCAGCAGAGCCCTGTCAGTGATCATTGCCCAGGGAACGTGTTTGCATTTTGTCTGTAGTGAGCAGAGTCTCATCTTAATGACAGTTGGAAACTTGAAGCTGCCATAAGTAATGCACTTCTCCTCTAAATGGTGACTGTATAAATCATAACCAGGGAAGGAGAGAAAACCAGCCTTCCCCACATCATTCACCTGCACACATAATTAAATACTAACCTCAGTTTCACTTTAAATACTACCTTGCTCCAATTAGCTGCAGCTTATGTTTGTATAATTCAGAGCACAAGCTGAACAAGCAGGCATTTGGCTGCAATCTACCATGTAAATAGATTAATTGATTTGTTTCAACCCTTGCTTCTCACCTACCTGTACAATGCAGTTGAATATGGATTCAAAACACCAAAGAGGAATAGGAACAAATTAAATTTACTCTTCCTGCTCACCCACACACAATTCATTGACTCAATTTCAATTCCTGAGTTGTCACTTCATAACTTTTTATAGTCCTTTGTAAATTATCTATACAGTGCTCCTGAAACTAAGTAATGATGTCACCTGACATCATGCTCTCATCTCCCTCTTCCCACCGGGCACACAGGATCTTTGTTTCTAGACTGGGAAAACAAGAAGTGCCAGGAGTTACTGTTCTGCTACCTCGCTGTGAAACTAGGCTTATGTTAGTTCAGTTCCTTCTTACAGATCATACCTTTTTTGTGGGGTGCTTCTGAGAAACCATAACCAGGGATAGACGGGCAAATGACTTCAAAAACGTGTTCATCACTGAGGCCGTGGCTTGCAGGATCCGTCAGGAGAGGGATGATTTTGTAAAACTCATAGAATGAGCCAGGCCAGCCATGAACCATTAACAATGGCTTTGCAGACTGGCCTTCAGGCAGACGAGGAGGCTTCACGTGAACAAAATGGATATCAATGCCTGTCAAAAGAAAATAAGTAACGAACATGCCCAAATCTCCCAGGACACTGAAACTCGGCACAGGACAGAGCATGAACACATCTTCTCTGAAGTCCTTGAGTACGCAAACACACTGTGCTTCTCTGGATCCATTCAGCCAAGGACCCCAAAGGACTTTGTAATGAGGAATTAAGCACTACAGCAGCCAAATGAGCTCGGCATCTTTGTTTTAAAATGAATTGGCAAATTAAGGCATAGAAGTGAAGCAATTTCCTAACGGTAACACAGTGACTCACACAGCTTAAAGGCAGAGGAGGTGATAACATCATTTAGTCCAAGCACCCTTAAATTTTACCCAAATATTCCTATATGGCAGCAGATAGGCTTCAGCCCACCACAGATTTTACTTCTTGCGTACAGTTGCAACTTGGAGGCATCAAGAGACACAGAATCCATCATAACCAACAGCTCTTTGTCTGGGGCCTTAATCACTTCCTTTGTTTCGTGCATGCCTTACTTCCCATGTAAATAAACGTGCCTGGATTCTGTCTCCAGCAAAAGGAATGTAAAAAGCCTTCAGTAAGTATTCTGTGCCTGTGGAGGCTTCCTGTAATCAAGTCACAGCACTGCTGATAAACCAGCCACGCTGAATCAAGGGTCTGAAACAATGCCATGCTGAAAGAGAGTTAAAGTGTTCAATTCTGTAGTTCTTTTCCACCTTTTGGCCAAAGCTTTCAGTATCTCTTTGTATAAACCAAAACAGGAAACTGTGTTCTGGTTCCAGTCTCATTGTTAAGTAAAAAGATAAAAATTGCAGCCCCATTTCCTTTGTGATCATCACAATACAAGCAGTAGGCCTCACACAACCTCCACTAGTTGCTTCAGGTGAACTGCTTTTCCTCAAACCCATTCAGGGCTTTGCTTTCCAGGAATCAGTAATTTGCTCTTAGTAGAGCCTGAATGCCTCAGTTCTTGATGTATTTAAGCACATTTTGCTCTCATCAGTACCAGCTCACCAGCAATCCCACCCTGTCACTGACAGATTTCCTCATCCTTGACAACTCTGTGGATTTCTGTATTCTCTGAAGAACTTTCAAGTGATGACAGAAGCTGGGAATCTGCTATGCAGCATGTTTGATCTTGTCTTTTCATGTCTCATCTCTGTGATCATTCCTAGTGTTGAAATTTCTCTTCCTATTGCTGTACATAGAGCATTGTCCTTTGCTTCTTTTCCCTTTCTTGTCTCAGATGATGGTTTTTCCACTTTAAACAAAATCTTTATGTTCTAACCCCTATGTTACAACCATTTATTGTCCAAAATCCATTTTAAATATTACGGTGAACTGCCCCACTTGAAATAACGTGCAATTATGGGTGCAATTGAAAATGTAATAGCATAATCTCAAGCTTAAATTTTGCCATCATGTGAGACAATTGCCTGCTGTGCTCTAAATCTACACCTGTACCCCCAAATGACCCAAGCACAACCTTAATTCAAGCACGTGAAACATCCAGTTTGACCAAGCTCCACCACAAGCAGCCCTGGTGCTGAACAGCCTCTTTCAAAAGGTGTCTGTGCTTTGAAGGAGAAGACACACCACTCGCTCACACCTGGCAGCACATCAAGCAAGGGAAAGGCACATCCTGCCTTCCTGGGCACAGGAATGCTTGAAATGGTGCAGCAGAGCGCATCTGCCTTGCAAGCAGGGCCAACCTGAGCAGGCAGCACGCCCAGCTGAGGAGGGCTGCCAGGCTGATGGCATCACCGTGACAGCAGCAGCTGGGGAATTACATGGAGCAAGAGGAGACATCTGTGGGGATCTTTCCACGACTGCATGCAAGCCAGGGAACATGTGTACATCTTAAGATCCTGGTTCTGTTTCCAAATGCCTGTGCTTGTGCTCCTGTTAACGCCAGCTGACAACCCATCCATGCACAAGGGAATTCCATTTGTCATTCCCTGTCCTAAAGGCTTGTGATGAAAGAGTTTCTTGCTGCTTCAGCAGCAACGCCAATAATCTACGCTGCAGCAGCGAGGAAGGGAAGGCTCACACAACACGACACAACCATAGCACTCTTGCCACCAAAGATCCCTTACAGACAAGGTTACATATTACTGTTTATTTTTTAAGGGAAAAAGCCACGCACCTTGAATCTTAGTTTTGAATTGTGGGTACTTGTTGAGGATTTCAACTTGTTTCTTCCAATTGAACTGGTTTTTCCAGTAGGAGACAACCTTCTTGAGGTACACAGAGTTAACCCCATAATGGAAGCAACTGTTCTCCAGTGGCTCAGTGAATCGAGCCTGGTCAAGTCTCCTATATAAGTCCTGCAGGGAAAAAGAAAGAAGAGACATGACAAACACTTGTGTGTGCCATCTCGGGCTCTAGCTCTACTGTGCATGGTTTCTAGTTATTGCCAAGTGAAATGAGAACAATGAAAACAACATCTCTAATGACACCTGTGCATTTTGCTGATGCTCCATCAGCTGTTCCAATTCTTTTTCTCCTCCAGATGGCCTCCTTCCTCTTTCATTTACAGCTGTTCTTAACACTGTCACCACAGAGGACAATACACTCATCTGACAGTACTGTGGCTTCACAGTTGAAGTCTTGATGCCTTTCCACAGTGTGTTGTTCCCCAGGTTATTTGTGAGCCCAACCTCACAATCAATGGATGGATCTGGCGCAAACCTTTTGTCTTCCCTCCCAAACCAAGGAGCTGGATGTCTTCACTGGGAAACACTGAAGGATTTTGCATGGCCACAAAGTTGGTGAAACTAGACTGGAATTAAAGTTTCCCAATCTAGAATAACTATGAAAATGACCTTCCTACTACACTTTGAGGTTACTGACAATACTGCACAACAGTCCAAAATCACTGAGCAGGGAAGAACAGCCCAGGCCCCCTTCCTACTGTGTGCAGAGCCACAGAATAGAGGGTGGAAGGCAGGTCTGGAAGTCTAATCCTACCCAAGCCTCTGTGGGATTTAAATCTGAACAGCATTTTCTAATAGAGCAATAGAGAGCGCTCTCCCTCTGAGTTAGGTGTATACTGGCTCATGAATCACAATGAACAGGCAATCTCAGCCTAGGCAAGATGTTAGTTCATAAGCTCACTGTTTGGGCATTTAACCTGCGTACAGAAAGCCTGGATTCTAAACCGAAGTTTTTAACATGTCTTTACATACATGCTTTTTGTCCATGCTCAACACCTTTTAAAAATGTGTTAGTAATGTAAGCTGGCATAAATGCAACTCCTGGTTTAGGTAAGAATACGTTGAGGAAAAGTTATGTTGCAATAGCTGTCGTAACACAGAATTGCACGTTTCAAAACCATTCTAAGTTAGAAATTACCTAGTTTTGTGTCTGCAGTATAAGGGGGAAACATACTGGAGTTCAATGCCCATGGATATTGCTAACAAGGGCAAACAAAAGTTTTGTCTCAGGCCTTACTGAGACAATAGGAATCCATTATAAATGAATAATATGGGCAATGCCAGGAGTCCTGTTTGAACCATGACTCCACACAGACCTATGAAATTGTGCAATCCCTGACTTAAGCACACAGAATCAAAATGCTGCTATCGAACACATTCTGCAATGTATGTGTTTACTGTAATTACCGCTGTGGCACTGCTGTTGATCAAAGTAGATCGTTAATTACAGAAGAAGCAGCATCCAACACAGCTGCACACATAAAGCAGGGAAGAAAATGAAACGTTTGGAATAGCTTTTGAAAGAAAAAAAAAGAGATATTGTTCATATTTTGATCTACACACTCAAACTGAGGGAGGTGCACAAACAGAAACACAGAGCTGAGTAATCTGTAATATGAGTTTTATGTTTATTGGGCTTTACAGAGCAGGTTTATTTACTGGCAATCTTGAAACAGCCAGCTGAGAGTAAAATTGCACAGCAATATGTAAAGTCTGTCTGTCCATACCTATCTCCTGGAGTCCTGACAGATCCCTTCCCCCAAGTCCCACACATCGTTGCTCATCCTCATAAATGTAACTACTGGTTCAGTTTAAAAATTACAAGTTCAGCATTTATTTGGCCATTGCTTACTTCTCCCTCCCCAGTATAGAGATTTGCTTACACTCAGCTCTTCTTCTGTAGTTTCCACCTTAAATGGCCGAATAGTTGTATCTTCTTCGGCATCAGGCTTTTGTCCCTTGCCCCACCATCCCTCTTTGAAGGGTAATGTTTCTTCTTTCTTCTTGGAAAATAAGAAGTAGATGATGACTGAAACCAGAACCAGGAGCACTTCAAGCAGCATAATGCCTGCAAGAGAAGAACACAACTCTGGTAAGCCTCATCAGACAGTTCTGACATGTGATGTACTCTGTAAAGACTACAGATGTTTACTTGCTTTTTAAGATAGGATTTGATCTACGTGATATTCTGTCACTCACAGGACATCAACGCTTCTGTACAATTTCAGAAATAGGATCTTTTAACCTATGCAAGTCAAATGGGGAGAAATTAACTCTGTTACATGAAAGACATTTAATAAAAAGAGAACCCAAGGCAAGTCAAGACATCACATGGCTTGGTATCTAAATATTCCTCTGGCCACAACTGCTGCTCAACTTCAACAGTAAAGGATGTGACTGGACATAATTCAGGTTTAATGCTTTCTCTTCCTCTGAAGCTCTAGATTTCCCACAAATTCCAAAGCAGAGCATCTCTTTAGTAAGGCTCACACGTCTATTATTTCAGAGTTGGAGGGGAAAACCCCCAAGACACATAGAGAATGAAAAGTGAAGAGTGCGAGGGCAGCCACCTTTTACCTCCCGAACAGCCTGAGGGAGTGGGACAGGGATATATTTGCACAACCCTTGAACAGCAGTGCAAAGGGTAGAAGGACCTTCCCTTTCTTTCTCCCTCTGTACAGGTTTAAAGAGAAACCAGAAGACCACATGCATGCTCTCCTGGCTCTAAAACACCCTTCCCCAGGTGACAGAATTCTGTCACAGTGTAAAGCAACCAGATTTCACACTCTATCTGCATGACCTGACTGCAGGCCTGTTGTGCTTCAGTCAGACAGAACACAAACAAGCAACATCCAGTCTGAATATATCTGAACTGTTTCAAGCTGCAAATAGAAAAAACAGTTACTCAGACTCTTTTTAATTATTAATGTTTTCCATTGTCCCTTTAAGTATAAGAAATGTTCGTAAGGTGGCTTGGGGAACAGCACTGTCATCATTTTAATGCATTATCTTAAAAAATGCCATGTTTTAAACATTCATTTGCTGGGGAACTGATAAGATATGAAGTATCTCAAAATTTCTGTAGGGCCCAAGCATTGTCTGTGCCACAGAAGAGTCTTCATTCCCCCCAGAGCTGGAAGGTTTAGTTGGGTTTGTGCTGCAGAGTAACGTTGTAATATACGTATTGGGAATTTGCTGATGTAATCGGAATTTGTTGCTGCAATATCGTTACAATGCATGTGTTAGTTAAGCAAGGCGAGTACAACACGCTTGGATAGACTTGTAAATGTTAAACCACCAGATCCTGTTAATAGAAATGAGTTTAAAAGAAATGCCAAATAAGGAAGAATTATCTAAGCAGGCTAAAATGTGCACGCGCAAAAAGAAAAGGTCATGTCAAGGACAATGAGGAGGACTAGGTGGCCCTCATTTATCGACCACCAGAGGGGAGAAGCCCACCACTAGACCCACAAGATCTACCTGGCATAGAAGGTTCTGGAACTCATTTACAAAGGACTAGCCCCCTTATGAATATGCATGAACCAGAAGTATATATTTGAAAACCAGGAACTGTAAGGTGTGTGTTAGTGGGGGAATTGCCCCACGCACCCAGCGCTGCTTTTGCTTATTACCTCTTAATAAAATTCTTATAATCAAAATTACAGAGATCTTAATTTATAACAATTGGTGACCCCGACGTGATCTCTAGGCTGAGCCTCAGATTGAGGTACCCTTGAGAGGCGCCCCGCAGATTGTTATTGCGGCTTAAAGGAACATTAATTGGGGCAGAGGTCTCAGAGATCAACGAACCAGGAGAGGTAATAACCAAAAGAAAACTGGAGCTCCACAGGGCTATGAGAGACTGCACTTAAAATTTATTCTTTTTTACCCGTAATTCTGGTGTGCGAAGACCCGAGCGAAGACGCCCGAGCTGTGAGTATATGCGGATAATCCCATTCGGTTGGGTAGGATTCGGCTGCCTGTGAGAAGTGCGATCAAGGACTAGAGAGATAGGGGTATTCGTAAGGGGGACCCTAACCTCCTGACAAGGCACTTCTTTACCGATAGCCAAGGGCTGAGGAGAAGCCATAGAATTCTCTTTAAGGTTTAGTTCCTAGGGAAATACTCCAGGGATGGGTCAAGGACAGAGTTGGAGTTCGAATCAAGGGAGAAATTCGAAAATGGGTCAGAAGGAAATGCTAAAATTACCAGATATACCCTCTGAAAGTCCTTTAGGAATGATGATAAAACATGGGGGTTCTTGGCCTTCCCAGCAAGGAGAAAATGGTTCACTATTGTATGAGGCTGTGGGGCGAAAAGAAAATAAGGCCAGACAATTTATTTTGGCCAATTTTTGCTTCTTTCGATGATTGGGTATGTCAGGCTTTAAATTTGTATGTGAATGCAAAAGAACCCTTTAGTCAGGAAGAAAGCGATTACGCTAAATTATGGAGGGGGGCAACCACTACAGTTGCTCTATTTTTATTAAATAAAAAGGAAAAAGAGTCAGACAAGTCGTCCTGGGAACCCTGAGATAACTTGCCTCCTCCACATCAAGGGCAAGAGAGGCAGGAACCTCCAAGAATATATCCCGACTTGCCTCGAGCTCCCACTCCACAAGCCCCCTGTATTACCTCCTTCACCCCCCCACACTAGATCAAAAACTAGACAAGAACAAACCAAATCCCGGGGAACAGGGGAGCAAGAAATATTAGCTCCCCTCCAAGAAGTCCCTATGGGAGGAAATGTAGGAGGAATTGGATTTGTAACAGTTCCCCTTAACACAGGGGATGTGAGATCCTTTAAGAAGGAAATGGGCAAACTGCTGGATGATCCTTTAGGGGTCTCAGAGCGGCTAGATCAGTTTTTAGGCCTGAGTATATACACATGGGAAGAGCTACAATCCATATTAGGCATCCTGTTTACGTCTGAAGAAAGGGCAATGATAAGACAAGCCGGAATGCGGAACTGGGAGAGGAGACACCAGCAAGGTCCACCTGGGGATCAGAAATGGCCAGGTCAGAACCCTCGCTGCAATAACCAAAACGGCCAAGATAGACAGAATATGGTTGATCTGAGGGACATTATTATACAAGGAATAAGAGAGGCTGTGCCCTGGGGACAGAATATGGAAAAAGCTTTTAACGAACACCAGATGAAGGACGAATCTCCCACTGCTTGGTTAGAAAGGTTGAGAAAAACTTTTCAACTATATTCTGGGGTTGATCCAGCATCCCCAGTCGGGGAGGCGTTATTAAAAACACAATTTGTGGCAAAATCTTGGAGTGATATTAGGAAAAAGCTAGAGAAATTGGAGGATTGGCAAGACCAGGGGCTCCAGGAATTGCTAAGGGAAGCTCAGAAGGTTTATGTGAGAAAGCCAAAGCTAAGATTTTTGTCGCAGCAGTACGGGAAAGCCAGAGGCGAGAAACCCCCCCGGTCACTGGGACAACCAGGACCAAAGACTCAAATACTAGACAATCAAAGAAAACCACCGGGGGAAATGCAGGGGAAATGTGGAATAAGGGAGATACACCAAAGGAGGTTCTTGAGTGTTATTACTGTGGGAAGAGAGGACATTGTAAGAGAAATTGTAGGAAACGTATCCAGGATGAGAAAATGTTCCAAGCAGAATAGGGGTGTCAGGGGCTGTACATCCTGGGGACTAGACCAACATCTGAGCCCTTGATAACCCTGAAAATAGGACCCCAGGAGGAAGAAATATTATTTTTAGTAGACACTGGGGCAGAAAGATCAACTGTTAAACATATACCTCTGGGATGTCAAATTAGTAAAAACGCCTCCCTGGTGGTAGGGGCAAAAGGTGAACCCTTTAAGGTGCCTATTATTCAAAATGTACAAATTGAATCTGAGAATCAGTTTTGTGTAGGGGATTTTTTATTGGTCTCAGAGGCAGAACACAATTTGTTAGGGCGAGACTTAATAGTCAAAA